GACCCTCACCTGCAGTTCCCCTGGGGATGTGCAGTGCAGTGGCATTTATAGTAACAAATGGATAAAGTGCAGTATATGATGTAAAATAAATTAGTGCAATCAAGTAGGTAACAAACAATATACACTTACTGTGGGCCAGCAACCTTAGAAGTGCTTTTGCTTGTACTCTCTGCTTTAGTGCCCCCAACAACACTATGAGGCAAAGGTGTTCTGCTCTCAGTTCATAGTTGAAGGTGGCTGGGACATTTGCCCTGAGTTACATGGTGCTAAGTGGTGTTGCCAAGAACAAAGTCTGGGCTGTCTCACTGCCGAGTCCGTTCTGTTAGCAGCTATATTCTGCTTATTTCCATAGTTTGTGTCTGAGCTGCTCAAGATAAAACCAGTGGCACCGTATACCATGTCTGATGAAACAGGAAGACACTCGAAAAAGGACTGAATGTGAACAAAGGGCTAGCTGATAGCTGCTGATGAAGCAGTATAGGTCACAGATAGGGCTTAGGATCAAGAATGTAGGTGGTAGAAAGGGCATTGCCTGGTGGCACACATCTGTAATCTTAGTGCTGAGGTTGATGGACAGCAAGTTCCAGGCCAGCCTGGTCTATGTAGAGAGACCCTGTCTTTTTTCTTTTCTTTTTTTTTTTTTCTTAAGGTGCAGGCATTGGGGCTGTCATAGAGAAATCACCCACTTGCTCTCCAAGACAGGAGCAAGAAGGGGTTAGCCACAATGCAAAGAAAGAGAGGCAAGGGATTTTACAGCAGTGGACAAAGAATGAAAATTTTAGGAGCTATTTTGAGGTAGTGAGACTTTTCTAGTGGATTTTTAAAAGTGATCTCCCACTGAGGGTTGAACCTGGAAGTCCTGTTGAAGAAAAGGCTGAAATGAGCTAGCATCAGGGTGAGCAGTTTCCAAATCGTCCCCTGGTGGAGCTGGTTGGGGCCCTCCATTGAGGGGCCTGCCCACTGCCACAGGTGGAGTTGAACAGAAGGAACTTGAGGGGAGCCATGTCTGTCTTTGACCCTTAGAGCAATGTTCCAGATTTAGGGAGGAAGAGGAGTACAGAGCAGAGGTGGAATAAAGGAAGTGATGGGTGCTAAGGCACAGGTTACCGTCACTGACTAGTTCCCACGTCACTCAGTTTGGAAGTTTTCAGAAAGGAAATGCCTCGTTCAGAGTAGTGCTTCCCAAAACTCCGGAGGAAGGGGCTGTGCTGTTCTTGCTTTAAGGTCGTGAACTGCTTATATTTTGGAAAAATATAATAAATTAGAAGAAACTTAAGAAAAATAAGCGTACGAGCATTACATGGTGGTACACACCTTAATCACAGCGCTCGGGAGGTAGGGCAGGTGAGTTCAAGGGCAGCCTGATCTACATAGTCCCAGGCTAGCCAGGGCTACAAAGTGAGATCCGACTCACGAAACGAAAGGCAACAAGGAAACACATGAGTACAAACCCAGTTCTCTATTTCTTTGCTCTTTAAAAAGTTCTTGCTGCAGCCGGGCAGTGGTGGCGCATGCCTTTAATCCCAACACTCGGGAGGCAGAGCCAGGCGGATCTCTGTGAGTTCGAGGCCAGCCTGGGCTACAGCGCGAGCTCCAGGAAAGGCACCAAAACTACACAGAGAAACCCTGTCTCGAAAAACAAAACAAAAACAAAAACAAAAAAAAAGTTCTTGCTGCTCTCTGTGAATATCTGCTGTTAGCGTGCCATGGACTTCTTACTCAGAAACAACTGTGGCCTCACCTGGCCTACTGCTGAAAGGGACATTAGATGCCAGGCAGGGTTGCGGAGGGCATCTCACCCGCACAGCTCTTGAGGGAGCCTACCCCAATGCCTAGATGGATACTGGTTACACAGTCCACGTAAGGGATGGTTTTTGTATTCAGGATAAAATAGTGTTGTAGGTAGTCTCATAAAGTTCATTCCATTTACCCACCTGATGGAGGGCAGAGCAGAGCAGTGTGTGCTGTGCCTTATTGGGCAGTTTTTCAAGCCCATGTTCCTAAGCCCTGAACCTCTTTGCTTCAGGTCGTGGCTGCGGCTAAGGTGTGTGAAATTGCCCACGAGTCTCCGTCAGTGAAGAGCCTTTGCTTGCTTGTCCCCGATAAAGACTTCTCCTTTAAGGCTGGCCAGTGGTGAGTGGTGTTTCTCTTTTCCTGTCAGATGAAAGGTATTCTATTTTCTTCTGGAAAGGACTTTTGTGGGTAGCTGTCCCCTACTAGGAGAGAGGAATTCTGGGTCATTTCTGTTTGGGCACGTACTCCTTGATTCCTTACTTGGCTGTAACCTGTATCACGCTCTGTCATGTATGAAACCAACCTTGGGTAGTCCTCTTTCAAACAGCGTGGTGCTGCTCTGTGGAGCCACAGCTCTGTGATTGTGTCTGCAGACGGCTTCACTAGAACACATGGCAGCCACCTGATCTGCTCCGGTTATGGTTGCTGGGCACTCGCAAGTTTCTAAAAACCAGTCTTGGTTCTGATAGACAAAGTAGCTGAAAGAAGGGTCTCAGCCTCCAGCCCAGAGATCCCCTACCTCTGTTCCCGAGTGCTGCAATTAAAGGTGTGTGCCACCACACCTGGCTGCCTTATCTTTTTGAGAAGAGTCTCTCATTGAACCTAGCCCTCAAGTTGATTAAAAAAAATGATGAAGACAGATGTTAAGCCAACCTTGTATTCTCAGATTTTTTTTTCTTTATTTGAATAGGTAGTGGTCTATAGCAGTTGTTCTCCACCTGTGGGTCGTGACCCCTTTTGGAGTCAAATGAGCCTTTAACAAGGATTGCCTAAGAACATCAGAAAACACAGATGATTACATTACAATTTATAACAGTAGCAAAATTACAGTTATGAAGTAGCAATGAAATAATTTTATGGTTGGGGTCACCACATGAGGAACGGTATTAAAGGGTTGCAGCCTCAGGAAGGTTGAGGTCCACTGGTCTATATAGTTTTCTTTCAGTGTCTGTGATTATCTGGGTGATACCAGCTTCATTAGAGTAAGTTCCAATGTGTTTGTTTTCTTGTTTGGGGTAGTTTCTGAAAGATTAGTATTAATTCTCCTTTAAGTGTGTGATGCAGCTCACCAGTGATGCTGCCGTCTGAACCAGAATTCTTCTTTGTGAAGTTTTATTAATTCAGTCCTTAAAGTTTATGTAGAACTGATCAAGTTTTTCTGTTTCTTCTTGTGCCATTTTTGATAGTTGATATCTTTTTAGTAATGTATGTGGTTCATCTAAATTAACTAACTTTTAGCATATCAGTTCTTCATAAAACTTGTGAAGAATTCTTTTTATTTTGTAAGATTGGTTGTGATTGTCCCTCTTTTTTTAAGTTAGGACTTTATATTTTCTTAATCTAACTGAATCTGTCAGCTTATTTCTTTGCCTGCCGTTGACAACTTTCTTGGTTACTGCAACAGTGATGGTTTGTTTGTCCTTTTAGGGTTGATTTCTTTATCCCAGGAGTCTCAGTCGTTGGTGGGTTTTCAATTTGCTCCAGTCCCCAACTGCTAGAGCAAGAGAGAATAATAGAATTGGCAGTGAAATACACAAACCACCCTCCCGCTGTCTGGGTTCACAATAAGGTAAGCAATCACCTTTGAAACAACCCTTTTTAGATTTCTGTAACTTAATGGGTCTGAGTATTTTACCTGCATGTTTGTTTGTACACCACGTGCATGTCTGTTTATCTCAGGGTCACTGCTGGTTGTGGGTCACCATGCGGGTGTTGAGAAACGAACCTGAGGCCTCTGTAAGAGTGACAGGTGCTCTGCACTGGTGAGCATCTCTCCAGCCCCTCAGCTAACTTAAAGTTGGAGATCTGAGCATTTTCATCTGCCTCCATTAAATGTGTGTTCAGCTCACTTAGTTCACTTGTAACCCGGACCTGCAGGAATAGGATCCTGAACGGCAAGGTGTCCAGTGGGAGTACTGGGAACATGCAGAATGCAAACTCACACTGAGTTCCCCAGGAGGGTGGAGAAGCAGAATCTTGTTGGTGAACTGTGTTTTAAAAGGATTGGAAATATTGTTTCCACCAGGCATTCTATACAAGTGTTTGGAAATCACCTGTTAGGTCAACAGTCTTACTGTGAGCATCCTAAAGAAGGGCCTGCCTAGAACCCGGAGGGGACCATCTGCAGTTACAGAGCAGTGCGCAGTCATTGATGCCGAGTCTGTGCTGCTCCACACTAGTCACCTCGGGCTCTTCACACGGGGTTCTGAGAGGACCCAGTTCTAACTGTTGCTTTTGATTGTGCTGTATCACAAGGCTTACCCCCTTTCCTGCATATGCCTCCTGCCGTTACCTGCTAGAACACCAGGAACAAAGGGGACCTTAGTTTTTGACCCTTCTTTCTTTTTGTTCCCCCTTCTCCGTACCATAGTGTGTCTTTGTATTCACCTGCAGCCTCCATCCTGTTTCAGGGTTTTCTTAGCTTCCTTACTGAAATGCACCCAGAAACTCAGCACAGTTTCATTCTTTTCTGGGAGTCATTGACAGTCAAAAAGAGAACAGAAAGCAAAAACTAACTTGATTTTCATCGCTGTTTTTAAAGGTTGCAGGGAATTCTTGTTTGTGTAGGAACCACATGTAAGGCGGGCAAGGAGCGAAGCCAGTAGTAGCCGATCTGGCCAGAGCACCAGCAGAAATGCATGATGGGGGCAGACGTGTAGCCTTGTCCTACACAAACAGCAGGGGGCGGGCAGGTAGAATGTACTGACTACAGTTTGGCTAGGTTAGTAGAGACACACAAAGAATCCTAAACAGGCTGTATCTGTGGGCAGTAACATGCCCTTGTAGCTGAAGAGACCTTTTGTGTGGTGAAAACTTGCAAATTACGTCCCTTTCTTGGTCCATCCCCCAGTATAAGACCAGCTTTCATATGGTTCTTCAGAAAGAAAAAAAAAAAAAACAACTGTCTGTCACAGTCTCATGAAAGGAATCAAAGAGGTACAGTGAGTGTTCTTAGATTGGGAGACTCAAACAAGGAACAATTCCCCTTAAATTGACTGATGGATTTATTGCAACACAACGAAAATGTAGCTGTTTTACAGATGCAGACAAGTAACTTTAGAGTTTATATGGAAAGAAGGGTCTCTTACTGCCACCAGCCACTATGACGTCAGATTTGTCCTGGAGCCATTTTCCGAGGCTCCTTTCCTCTGAGTTTGCTGTCATTGAGCTGGTAGGGTAGACGGGAAATGTGTCGGTGGCAGCAGGCTGCCTGGCTGACATGGGGGAAAGTGCTTGTCGTTTCTCTCACGGGCTTTGGCAGAGCAAGGAGTTCGGAGGCTGTGGAAAGGTTGCCTGTTTCACGTGGCAAATCGGTACTCAAACTTAGTGCAGTGCTCTGTGAGGAAGACAATAAGGTCCTTTTACCTGCTTGCATACTAGAGCAAACAGTGACTTGACTTTTGTGTTCAGACTCCCCTAGCGGTTTCTACTTATCAACAACAGACAAAGGTGGCTTCTTTCATCCTCGGGTTTCCAGAAACAATAAGCAAGTTGCTTTCTTTGTTCTCAGTGCTCCACAACACTGAAGAGCACCGGGAAAAGGTTTCCTTCTCCTTCCTAGCTTCTTTTGCTCCCGGGTTCTCCTGGCAGAAGAAAGAAGTGTATATGCAGGTGAGCAGGGCTGAGCAACGGCAGAGCCTCTTAGGTTTTGGATTCTACTTTTAGGGCTTGAGAGGAAGGAGCATTTTTAGGCACTGCAGTTGCCAGTGCAGCCACGCCTACAGTTATGTCCTCTGAACCAGCGGCCCCTGCTGCCAGCTGTTTGTCAGAATGAAAACACACTCTCCTCTCCTGCTTATTTAAAATAGTCAAGTTTAGGTGTATTTCCCTTGAAGAAGGATTTCCATTCGTTTAACAGTTCTTTACCAATAGGGAACTTATATCATCAATCAAGGGATTTTATTCCTGGGTTTTCCTCTAAGTTTGGTCATCTTAAGTTGTAGAACCTCAAATTAAATCCCTGTCCAGAAGTGTCTACTGCTCACCACACCTGGGATGTGTGGTGCCAAGGACTGAGTGCCAAGGCTTTGACTCTCCAAAAGCATGTGACATGTTACTACTTCTAGATTCTGTAGATTTATGACAGGAGCTTGCAATGAGGTATGTGTAAATGGCTGGATTCCTGGATTCTGGGTTAGAGGGAGGCAGGAAGGGGACAGACATACCCAGCACTGTGTCCTCTCTGAGAGCCACAGTAATCCAGACAGCTTTTCATATAGAACCCAATGCTAACAAGAATCCCTGCCCTCCGAGGAAAAACATAAAACTGAAAAAAAGCACCCAAATCTCAAATTCTCTAGCTGAAATACAAAGGAGGGATAAAGGCACGAAAGGAACCCAGAGTCCACGAATATTTATTTCCAAATGCTCAAGTTTGGGCGTGTGGAGACTGCACGATAGAGTGAAGCAGTCAGCGGACTTTTACTAAAAACGGTTACTACAAATGTGTGGTCTGCAGATGCACGTGGTGTAGGCTTGCTGTGTGGGTGACAGAAGGACACTAATGTCACTTCCTGGGATGTGGTCTTCCAGAACAGTGAACACAGCCAGGTCTAGTCTGCACACATGTTACATTCTGGAAAATTCAGGTGAACTTAGATTTGTGCAAAGCTGTCTCAGGGTTTATTTGTAAGATGAGTCATTGTTCAGATTCATCTTGATTGTGGGCTTGATGGAGAAGAGAGTACGGGATTAATTAGTAAGGCTCACCTCTGGATGTGTTCTCTGAGGCCATTTCCAGAGAGGATTAACCAAGGGTAGAATACACTCTCTGAGTGTATGCGGGCAGCACCATCCCGTGGGCCGAGGGGGAGGCAGATAAAATAAAAAGGAGGGGGAGGAGAAAAGGCACATGTAGGCGTTCTCTTTCCGTGCTTCCTGGCTGCCATGTATCCTTCCATCAGCCTGCTCTGCCTCACCACACCCCAGGTCTCAGGTCACTACGAACTAGCTTCTGCCCACATGAATAGCTTGTGACTCACTCAGAGTCACCTGACAGTCCTGTGCATTGCGGCAATGGCATGCAGGTAATCCAGCACCCTGAATTTTACAAAAGCCCTCGTTTGTATTATGTACAAATTTGTGTTCTGAATATTCCCACAGTGGCTGAGTCCAAACTACCAATAAAAATAACAGAAAATCCCTGCAGATTTAGCCATCAGTTTACTAGGAGCCAGATCCAGGAAGCCACCAGTTAATGTGGGACATCTAGCCCTATCCTCCGAGTGTCACTTAGGTTCCCCAATCACTGTGACAATTAAAAAAAAAAATGTTGCCACAGGTTTCCAGAACACCCCATCAGAGGCAGTATTGGCTCATTGGGAACCAGTGCTTTCATTATCCTGTGGAGGCAGTTGTGGTATAAGTGATGTTACCAGATACTGGCACATTACCTGGGCAGGCTGGTGTGAGACTCAGCCTGCATGTACAGCCTTCTGCTGCTTTTCTGGCTGTAGAGGGAGAAGTGAACAGGCACAGCTGGTACCACAGTGCTGGTGCAAGCCTGCACCGCTAACCTGAGGAGGGAGCCCCAGGGGCCTTACACATCTCAGCTTGAGGACACACCAGTCCCATCCTGCCTTTCTCAGCCTGGGTCAGAACACAGGAACATGGCTCTGATGAAGGGATTCACACCCCAGAGTTTCCCTGCCCGAGTCCAGTGCCATTTTCGTCAGCTCAGCTCCTCACCTGTGACGCTAATGACACAATCTCCTCAGCAAGTCCTCCTTTCTTAATACCAGCCTGCAGCCTGGCTATGGCGTGTGGATCACAAAGTTGGGATAGCGAGCAGACTACAGGCTGGACAAGTAGAATCAAGTCCCAAGGCTCTGGGAAAATTGAAAAAAAGTTGTGCAGATCGTCCTAAATACTAAAAGGCACGCAGGTCAGCCTGGTAGCTTCACGTAAGTAGGATGTTTGGTCTGAGACTTGTGCTGCATGGGACCAAGGGATCTTTTCTTTCTTGCTCAGTGCACACTTGACTCCGAAGTGACTCTCAGAGTGGGTGGAGAGTTCTTCTTTGACCCTCAGCCCACAGATGCCCCTCGAAACCTCGTGTTGATTGCTGGAGGGGTCGGGATTAATCCCCTGCTTTCCATCCTGCGCCACTCAGCAGATCTCCACCGAGACCAAGCAGACAAAGGAAGTAGCTGTGAGATAGGAACAATAAAACTGTTCTACAGTGCAAAGAACACCAGTGAACTCCTGTTTAAGGTAAGGTGGGAGCCATGTTTTCATGGTGCTGTAGCTAGTGTGTGAAATTGTATATAGTTCATAAACAACAGGGGATGTGAATTGATAAGTGCAGAGGGCACTACCGAGCCTTAGGGTACAAGAGAGCTCAGGACAAGGAGGAGAGAAGTATATGTGTGGGCGTGGGGGAGGGGTGATCAACCAAAATAAAGTGTGTATAAAAATGCCATGACAAGCTGGGCGGTGGTAACGCACGCCTTTAATCTCAGCACTTGGGAGGCAGAGGCAGGAGGATCTTTGTGAGTTCGAGGCCAGTCTGGTCTACAGAGTGAGATCCAAGACAGGCACCAAAACTGCACAGAGAAACCCTGTCTCGAAAAACAAAACAAAACAAAAAAAAAAAAAATGCCATGACAAAACCCATTACTTTGTATGCCAATTAAACAATGAAAAATCATACAGGTATATAGGACAAGAAAGATGTGAAACTGCCTAGGGGATTGAATGGGAGTAAAGGGAGGAGGATGGGGTGAATATGTACAAAGTGCATGATGTACTCCAATCAAAATGTCTTTCTGAAGCCCATCACTTAACAACATATGCCAATAAAAATAAATAAACATGTAAATAAATGGGAAAATTTTTTCTTCTGTTAGGTTCAGATTTCTCTGCAAAGGTTCAAATAAAAGGCTTAGCAAGGCTTAATCTCAAATGAGAATTAACAGACACATTTCACCTAGGACAGTTAAAAATGTTTCCAGTTAAGTGGCAGGATAAGATGAATCTTGGTGGACATCTTAGTTATTTTTCTGTTACTATGATATAACACTATGACCAAGGCAACCTATAAAGGAAGCATTTAACATGGGGGTTCTGGTTTCAGAGGGTTGGAGTCCATGACCATCGTGGCAACAGACAGGCAGGCATGGTGCTGAAGCAGTAGCTGCAGGCTCACATCTTGAGACACAAGCAGGAGGCAGAGAGGGTTAACTGGGAATGGGATGACTCTTGAAGCCGCAAAGCCCACCCCAGTGAACACGTCTAACAAGGCCATACTTCTAATCCTTCCCAAACAGTTCCACCAACTGGGGACCAAGTGTTGAAACTATGAGCCTGTGGGGCCCATTCTCATTCAGACCACCACAGTGGGATAGAATCTAGAAGTTAGTGGAACAGAAAAGTCACTAGGGCCAGACATGGTGTCTCATATCTGTAACCCCAGTCCTTGACATGTGAGGCTGGAAGATCAGGCATTCGTGGCCAACTTCAGCTACATAGCAATTCAGGGCCAGCCTGGACCACATGAGACTGTCTCAAAAACCAGGAGGAGGAGGTGGGGAGAGGGAGGAGGAGGTAGTGGTTGCGGTTTTGAAACATTAGCCCTTACTGGCCTGGAGTTTGTTATGTAGACCAGACTGCCCTTGAACTCATAGAGATTCACTTGTCTCTGACTACCGTGTGCTGGGATTAAAGGCTTCCATTCTACCACCATACCCGGCTTTGGTTTGATGGTTTGATTTTTTTTTTTAATTGTAGTTTGACCTTTGTTTGACATTCCAGAAAAATATCCTTGATTTAGTAAATGAATTTCCTGAGAAGATTACCTGCAGTTTGCATGTTACAAAACAGATGACACAAATCAGTGCAGAACTTAAGCCATACATCACAGGTGAGTCCTCTAAAGAAGTTTTGACTAGTCATGCTGTTATTGGATAGACAGGCCGATTGGTTAAGCATAGATGTTTTATAGTTAGGAGTCATCTGCTGGGAATGTCATTCCCAGGGGAATTGAGGTGGTTCATATAGAAATACTTACTTGGGTTTGCTTATTATAGATAGGTTTCGTACTGCCTGTATTAAAATTGTATTTTTCACAATTTTTAGTAGACCCTGGCATCATAACTATAGTATACAAACAAACAAATAAATTATACTCCTGCTTTGGTTGAATCAGTTCCATTTGCCATTAATAGTTTTTTAAATTACTCAGATTCTCTATTTGGAAGGATGCCTTAAAGTTTTTTTATTTACTTTTTGTTTTTTGGTTTTAGTTTTCTTGAGATAAGGTCTTACTTTGTAGCCTTGACTGACCTGGAACTCATGAAGATCCACCTGCTTCTCCCCTCCAAATGCTGAGACTAAAAGTTTGAGTCACCACACCCAGTAACGTTATTTAAAAAATTTTTTTTTGTTTGGAAATAGGATTTATTATTCAATTTCCCCTGTTTTCCATTATGCTTCAAAGAAAGTATGTTTACAATCTGAAAAGAAGACAATATTTTACTGATGTAATTTTTCACCCAATCTTATTTGAGCATCAATGAGACAGCTATGTTGGAAATATCTGTGTTGTGCAAGGCTGTAACCTCATCTTGATCACCATTTTAAGATGGACAAAAATAGACCCCACAAAGTTGTCTTCTTGTCTCCACATATCTGTCATGGCCTAAAACCCATAGTCACATTACACAAACACACAACATTTTTTTTTTTTTAATAAATCTCGTGGCATTACATTATCTGGCATCTCTAGATAATTCCCTTAGAAGGCAATACTCAAGATATTATGTGAAATGGATAACTGATAAGAACATGAAGATGCATGGAACTACAAATGATGTATACATATCCATAGTACATCAGTTATATTGTGAAACATACGGTTGATTGCCGATTATGCTACTTCATTACATTTCTTCTAGATAGATGAAAAATGTTTCTTTGAATACACACATGATGTATTTAATGTTTCTTGTATTCTCTTCTATTAAGCATTTTAACATTAACGTTCTTAATATGTGTTGACAAAACAGCAAATGTTGGGAGCACATCATACACCCTTAGACTTGTACTCAGGAGACTGACACATGAGGATCATGAGTTCAAATATATCTTTGACTAATTACTAACAACCAAGCCAGGCTGAATGACAAACAACATTTCAAGGGAATTTGTGAAAAAAAAAAAAAAAATGGAAAATAAAACCAGTAACAAAAACCCACCACCCTTTCACAGACACACTAACTTGAAAAGAATGATCACACACTGCCTAATATTTAAATACAAATGTACCTTTTAGATGATGGCCATCCCATTCTGTACATTGAAGCAGAAAAATACCTCTACTTAGTGAAAGCAAACTAGAAGATGAACAATAGCCACAGAAGGAATAAAAGGACCAAAAAATAAACTTCACTAAATGGGTTTGCCACACATAAAGCACACTTTAATATCCACCTCAAATGTTGCAAAATAGAAGCTACAATGTGAACTTCACAGTAGTCTTTAGAACCCAGCAGGGCTGCAGAAGAGGATGATTGGACCATGGGCCTGGGTACCAGATGTTTGGAAGGGTCTCCATTTGCCTGTATCTAGCAAGAGGAAGGTCTTTTGCTTTGCCCCTTGGCATTGTTATAAAAAGCCTTTTGAATAAAGTTCTGGGGCAGTGGATAAGGATTCAGGCCCTCCCAAGGCTATCCTGTGTTTCTTTTTTCTCTCCTCTCCATCCTTCTATCTAAATCTCTTATCCCTCACTCCTCAAGAGTACCCTCAGTGGGTGGTGGTGGCGCACACCTTTAATCCCAGCACTTGGGAGGCAGAGGCAGGCGGATCTTTGTGAGTTCGAGGCCAGCCTGGTCTACAGAGCGAGATCCAGGAAAGGCGCAAAGCTACACAGAGAAACCCTGTCTCGAAAAACCTAAAAAAAAAAAAAAAAAAAAAAAAAAGAGTACCCTCGGATAAAAGGTGGGGGCAGGTACCCACAGTGAACTTGGTTAATAATTTACTTATTTCAAGGCTATGATGAAAAAGAGATGAAACAAGTTTTTTTCTTGAAACTGAAGACAACTGTGATGTCTAAAGTCTTTACCATAACATTTATATGAATAGGGTTTTTCTCTTTTATGAGTTCCTCCCTATTTCCAGATATCAAGATGATATAAAAAAAAAAAGCTTTAGAATATTTACAGGGCTAGAGACATGGCCAAACCCTTAATATAAGTTTACTCCCAGGACCAAGGTCAGGCTTTTTATGACTTCTAGTAATTCCTGCTACAAAAAACTCCAAGGGTCTAACTTGTTTGGCAACCAGAATGTACATGCACATACCCACACAAAGACACACTGACATTGCATAATTAAAATTAAATCATTAAACTAATTTTCACTCATGAATGTTTTTTCTCTTGTAATTCCTGTAGCATGGGTATTGAGGCATCTAAAGGCTTACAGGGTTTCCCTCCATCATGAATTGGTTCATGTAACAGAAAGTAAGAATGTAGGCTTGAAGTCAGATAAATCAATCATTCTCAGTCTGTGATATCATGTTTGAAGATTTAGAAAATGTTGCCCTGCTGGAAGAAATGTTTCACTGGGGTTTGGCCTGAGAGTTTACATCTGCACACCATTTTCAATTTACACTTTCTCCTTCATGCTGCAGGTTAAGGATGTGAATTTTTAGCTTCCTACTTTAGCTGCCGTGTCTGACACTTGTTTCCATGCCACTTTCATGGTGATCCTGTATCACTCTGGAACCCAGGGACAAATTAAACACTTTTGTAAGCAAATATAGACATGGTGTTATATCACAGCAACAGAAAAGGCACTAATATACATGCAGGAAGTTTTACACCTGGATTCATTATCTCGTGTAATTGAGGAGAAGTATGAAATCTAAAAGAGTTACCTTATTATTTAAATTCATAGGCCTTTTGTCCATGTGAGCTTGCAGATGTAAACAAAATAAAGAGGGGTATCGTATTGCTTGAACCAGTTGTTGACACTTGTCAGATTCTTTTCTTCAGAATAAATAATCTTGTGTAATGTAAGTGAGTTGGCTAAAAATATTACCAAATTTTTAGATTCCCTTCAGCGTGAATTTTTTCAGATCCTCAAAAATCTAATGCTATATTCAAAGGCTTTAACAGACCAATTACACACTAAAAGTTATTCGTGTAGGGTTTCACTCATTGTATGTGTTCTTTCATGCCTTGAAGATGACTATGATGTGCAAAGGTTTTATCATATTGATTACATTCATAGGGTTTCTCTCCAATATGTGTTCTTTTATGCCACTGAAGAGAAATTGATGAGCATAGGCTTTACCACATTGATTACATTCATAGGATTTTACTCCTATATGTGTTCTTTTTATGTATTTGAAGATGTCCTTGTTGTGCAAAGGCTTTACCACATTGATTACATTCATAGGGTTTCTCTCCAGTATGTGTTCTTTTTTGTATTTTGAGATGACTATAATATGCAAAAGTTTTACCACATTGATTACATTCATAGGGTTTCTCTCCCATATGTATTCTTTCATGCATTTGAAGATGACCTTGTTGTACAAAGGCTTTACCACATTGATATCATTTATAGGGCTTCTCTCCAGTATGTATTCTTTATGTATTTGGAGTCTACTATGACATGTAAAGGCTTCACCATATTGAATACCTGCATAGAGTTTCTTTCCAATATTAATTCTTTCATGCCTTTGAAGTCGACTATGATATGCAAATGCTTTAACACATTCAGTATATTCAGAAGTTTGCTGTCCTGTATGGCTTCTTTCATGCCTGAAAAGATAATTGGCACATTTAAAAGCTGTAACACCTTCATTACACTGTTGAATCTTTATATCTGTATAAGTTAATTTTACAATTTGATCTAAATGTAAAGAGGAATCAGATCTTAAGGTTTTATCAAATTGCTTACACGCATGTTGTTTCCCTTCATTAAAGATTGTTTTGCATATTTGAAGATGCCTATAATGGTAAGAGCCATTATTACTTGGCTCACATTTATGACATCTTTTTTCTTTCTTTCTTTCTTTTTTAAAGATTTATTTATTTATTTTGTATACAGCATGTATGACTACAAGTCAGAAGAGGGCACCAGATCTCATTACAGATGGTTGTGAGTCACCATGTGGTTGCTGGGAATTGAACTCAGGACCTCTGGAAGAGCAGTCAGTGCTCTTCACCTCTGAGCCATCTCTCCAGCCCCGGCATCTTTTTTCTATGAGATTTTTCACATATTTGAAGAGAACTGGTAGAATTCAGACCTTTACCCCATGTATTCCATTGATAAATTTCCTATACTGTGAGTCATACTACATTTGCAAGGTGAACCAGGACAAACAGAAGTATTTACACATTACTAGTACTCATAGGGCTTTTCTGCAGTGTGTTTGTTGATGTATTCCCATTGAAGCTGGAAAACTGATTACTTGTAAACTTGAATTACATTCAGCAAATCTACTCAACATGAGTACTACATATCTTCTAATTGTTCTGAGATGGAGAGGTATATTGCTTCTTTCTATATCCCTGTGCTCATATGGCTTGTATCCAGAGTGATATATGATGTACCTTCCATATCTTTGAGAACTTTGACAATGTTCTTCAACTTTATGATCTTCCCAATTGTAGCCTATATCAATGAGGTTCATATAGGTCTCCACCATCATATCTCTGTAGAAATTCTTCTGGGAAGGATCCAGCAATGCCCACTCTTCCTGAGTGAAGTTGACATGCACATCGTTATAGGTCATTACATCCATGGTACTGCTACTGAGCTGACTCACTCTCTCCACAATGGAGCCCAAGGCACAGCACATGTGACAACTTCTGTTATTTTATTTATTATTTTTCTTTCGTTTTTCTTTATTAAGAAATTTTCTACTCCACATACTATCCACAGATCCCCCCTCCTCCCTCCTCACTCCTCCCACCCCCCCTTCTGTTATTTTAAATTAGTGTGAGTGTGTGTGGGTGTGTCTGTGTGTGTGTGTGGGTGAGTGTGGGTGGGTGGGTAGGTATTTGTCTTTGTGTTTGCAGTGATGTATGAAGGTCAGAGGACAACATTTAACATTTGGGAGTTGGTTCTCTCTTTCCTTCTGTTAGTCTCAGGGATCAAGCTCAGGGCATCAGTCTTAGTAGAAGAGTCTTTGCGTGCTGAGCCATCTTGCCATCCTGAAAGAATTTTATTTATTTTTTAAATAAAATAGCCATTTACTTTGCTGAAGGCAGTTTTCATCTCTGTAATGTAAATGAGCTTGTGGACTCTCTCTAAAGAGCAGTTAGGGACCAGCCTTCTGCTTTGCTTGCTGTAGGCCTGAGAAGCCTGGAGAGTCCAAGCTCACAGTGCTGCAGGTGAACAGTGTAGTCAGCTCACAGTGCTGCAGGTGAACAGTGTGGTTGGTCAGCTCACAGTGCTGCAGGTGAACAGTGTGGTTGGTCAGCTCAGTGATGCAGATAAACACTGTGGTCAGCTCACAGTGCTGCAGGTGAACTCTGCCACCAAGCTGTGGTAGGTCAGGATAAAAACATGCCTAACCTGAATGGAGTTTATTCTGTTTTTTTGGTAGAAGGAAGAATAACGGAGAAGGAGATAAGAGACCACATTTCAGCAGAGACTCTGTTCTACATCTGCGGCCCGCCTTCGATGACTGACTTTTTCTCTAAACAACTGGAGAACAGCCATGTTCCCAAGGAACACATTTGCTTTGAGAAGTGGTGGTAGGGAGCTGGCACAGAAGACCTGAGAGCCATTCAGGAGAGTGAGACTCTGTTTAGGGTTTGTGGGTTTGCCTCCATCTGAGCTGTCTTTTTTTTAAAGCTGTGGAACTAAGTGTCCAACCCAAGACTGAAAGAAACCAGCAGCAGATTTACACGATAAACTTGCTGTGGACTTCATTGGTCAAGCTATTTTTGACTATACTGATTGTTTTTAATACTATTTAATTATCTCATGATTGTCCATTGTTACGAAGTTTCTGACCCCCGGGAGAATACCATAGACTCAATCCAAAAATAATGAAAATACTTATTAACTGCTAGCAGGACAACAATCTGTGAGCCAAATTTGAGATTGCCGTGAAGGAGGGGTTTAAGGAAGGGTTTTTTAAAGAAGAAAACCACACGAAGACCTTCAATATCTACACAAGCAAGGAAAAACTGGTCTGTTCTTTCAAGTGGTTAAAGCGACTCAAAACAATCTTTGGATATCTGTGTGAGCAAGTTACAGAAACTTAAAAAAAAAAAAAAAAAAGCAGGTAGTCATATCAACATCTGGTTGGGGGTCACTGAGTCAGTGCTGTTTTCTGGGAACCCATCTTTCTGGAATTTTGAGTCTAGAGCAAGCAGTCATTAGGTACTAAGATGGAGGCCTAACACAAAATGGTTTCTCTGGCTGGCCTTTACACCATGAACTGATTAGTACAGATTTTTCTTTGCCATTGGGGGGAAAGTGGTCTACTTACATTAATTAAAGGAAAATGTGGGTTTTGTGTGAACTGTATACTACTTTAAATTATTGGACAGAGATTCATAAATCTTATGTTTAGTGAGTTTATAATTTTAAATACATTCTTCCCTTTAGTTTGAAAAGTCTTCATGTTTAATGTTTTGGTTTTCTTTTACTATTGATGGCCTGTAGCCACATGTGAACCCCCAGCATTGCATCAGGAAATAAAAAAATCATCAAGAAAACAGCTTTAGGTGGTTGGATATCCATTATGTTTTCCTTCTTGGCATTGACTACCCTGAGTAATTATTACTGTTAATTTTTCTGTAACAAAACCTTTCGGTGTTTTCATACAAAACCTGCCTTACTGCTGAGGAGGTGGCTTTTTGTTTGGGGCAGAGGTGTTGGTGACTGCTCGCTCCAGCAGCTGGGCTGGCTGGTTGTGGAAGTGGTCTTAGGATTGGCCGAGTGGTGTGGAACCATTTCCAAGTCTTGCTTGTCTGCTTTTTTTTTTTTTTTTTTTGGTTTTTTGAGACAGGGTTTTTCTGTGAGCTCACTCTGTAGTTCAGGATGGCCTTGAGCTCACAGAGATCTGCTTGGCACTGCCTCTCAGGTGCTGGGATTAAAGGTGTACACCTTTAATCTTTAAAGCTGTGTCTAGGCTCCAAAGCCTGTCATGGCTGTATGTGGTCAAGCTGCTTTGGGGCCCCTCCACAGTCCAGCTCAGTGCTGAAAAAATACACATATATTTCATGCAGAAATCTCTCTACACCTGTCAGTCCTTTGGTGACTTCCTGTTTTATATTTAAATCCATTCAGACTACAGTCTCTGTGGAAGCCAGGAAGAAAATCTGCATCTCCTGGAGCTTGTTTGAGAGCACAAGGTCAGAGATTAAGCTTATGACATAAACTTGAGGCAAAGCTTTCCCTGTTTCCCCAGTGCTTTGTAGAACAACTCTAGTTGTAAATAATGCAACATGGAGACGGGCAGTGGTGGCGCATGCCTTTAATCCCAGCACTCGGGAGGCAGAGCCAGGTGGATCTCTGTGAGTTCAAGGCCAGCCTGGTCTACAGAGCGAGATCCAGGAAAAGCGCAAAGCTACACAGAGAAACCCTGTCTCGAGAAACCAAAAAAAAATATATAATAATAATAATAATAATGCAACATGGAGATTCATTAGTGACCATTTCCCCCACAACCCAAAAAACAGAGTAACCAAACTATTGCAAGATGCACATTTTCTTTTCTTCTTCATAGGGTCATAACGATAATTGGACCAGTTTGGTAGGACATCCCCCAAAGGCCTGTTGCCAGGAATGGAGTTACGCCATGCACTCCACAGAGATCTGAAGTCAAACAAGTAGAACCTTCAAACCATAGGCCAACAGTCATGAACCAGAAAGAGGAGGAAACAAAACAAAACAGAAATAGAATGGAACTGCTGTTAAGCCAATTCTGAGTATCAGACGCAGGTCATCAATCAGGCTTGGTGACAAGTGCTTGTATCTGCTGAGCCAGCCAGCCAGCTTCTGCCAGCAGGCTTTATAGGGAGGGAAACAGAGGCTGTCATCAGCTGGTCAGCCCCACTTCTGAGATCTGTGATGTCTCTGCCTCTTTTTTATTTTACAGCGGGGCTGTGGGGAGAGGGTTCAAGACAGGGTTTCTCTGTGTAGCCCTGGCTGTCCTGGAACTCTATAGACCAGGCTGGCCTCGAACTCAGAGATTCTCCTGCCTCTGCCTTCCAAGTGCTGTGATTAAAGGCATGTGCCACCACCGCCTGGCATCTCTACCTCTCTTATTCTCCCCCTTGCACTTTGCCCTGGTTGTCGTATTTCTGGAAATCTGGTTCAGTCTAGTTAATGTCCCTTAGCACCAACTCTGCAGTGCCCCAGGTTCCACCTGGGCTGGAGAGGTAACACAGAGCTGTCCTGGCCTGTGCATGCTATATTTTGAATAATAGGGGGTGTGGGGATTCTAGGGTCACTATAGTATTGAAGATGAAAATGTCCTTATCCAGCTGGGCGGTGGTGGTTCATGCCTTTAATCTCAGCACTCGGGAGGCAGAGCCAGGCAGATCTCTGTGAGTTCGAGGCCAGCCTGGTCTACAGAGCGAGCTCCAGCACAGGCACCAAAACTACACAGAAAAACCCTGTCTTTAGAAAACCAAAAAAAGGAAAAGAAAAAGAAAAGAAAGAAGGAAGGAAGAAAAGAAAGAAAGAGAGAGAGGAAGAGAAAGAAAGAAAAAGAAAGGAAGAAAGAGAGAAAGGAAGGAAATGTCCTTCTCTACCCCCTCACGCCTATCCCTTATCAGTTTACAAGAAGAGATGGTGGGATAGGGAGAAATCAGCTTGACCAGTACTGTAATTTGGATCTATTTCCTCAGTCTAATAACATGCCCAGTTTCAATTAGTACAGAGGATCCAATCCAGAGCTATATGCATGGCAGACAAGAACTCAACTAAATGAGTTACATCCCAGCCCCAAAGCCGCTGGCTGCAGATTTCCTTACGTATTCATCAGCTCTGGACAGGGGCTCTTCATCACCTGGCAACTGGGAACAGTGCTAGAATAAAGCTGGGAGAGCAGACGGTTCACAGAGTGGGATTGCTGGACGATAAGGTACTTCAAGTTTCCACTGTTCTCGGGAACTACACACTGCTTCCATACAGGAGATCACTATTGCACAATGAGAAGGAAGGCTCGCTTGAGGAAGCAGAAAAAAGACTAAACATTTCGAGAATGTTGGGTAGTCTGAGAGATTTGAACATGTGGCTTGTCAAAAGAAACCTAGGCTGGAGGGTGCAACCCATCCATACTGTGGAAGATGGCTCATGCACTTGTGCGTTCCCACACTGGACCCTAAGGCCACTACCTCCTGTGTCTCAGCTCCCTAGTCAGCCAGGCTGACCTATTGGGCTAACCTTATGCCTTCCCAAACACAGCCTCAGCACTGGCTGTTATGAGTCGTATTCCCGAGCCCTCATTTCTTTGTCCATGAACCAGAAAAGATCATGGAGGGTACCTAGCGTCTTCCAGTGCAGGATGAAGGCTTCCAAGGAAAGTTCTTTCCCTCTCTGCTCACCACACCAAGGGCAACATCTTGTCAAGGGTGAGGGAAGGTGAACACACTGGGAACAGTGCTACAGTAAAGCTGGGAGAGCAGACGGTTCACAGAGTGGGATTGCTGGATGATAAGGTACTTCGTTTTCACTGTTCTCGGGAACTACACACTGCTTCCATACAGGAGATCACTATTGCACAATGAGAAGGAAGGCTCGCTTGAGGAAGCAGAAAAAAGACTAAACATTTCGAGAATGTTGGGTAGTCTGAGAGATTTGAACATGTGGCTTGTCAAAAGATGGCTTAATAGATGGAAAAATTCAAATCGATAGAAATCAACTGCCTGCTCAGCCCTCTGTAAATACTCACTGTGTTCCTGGAACAATATCTTTCCAGGAATGTCTACATGTGGCCGTTCTCACCTGTGTAAATAAGGAGTCAGCACTCACTCTTGCTGAGGATTTACTGGAGGTGCCTGCCTATCAGTGGAAATAGAACTTGGTTTCGAGTCTTCAGTATGGTGCTTGCTATTTAATGTGAAGAGTAAAATGAAGGCTAGGGGCTGGGAAAATCGAATGATTCTACTACTAACTAGTCCTGAGAACTAGATTGCTATCCCCCCCCCCCCCCGCCCCCACAAACCTGGCCATTCATGAGGCTTCAGATGTGTCTAAACCTTGGGCCTGATGGAGTCATTTGTAAAACTTGGGTGGTTTCAGAGCTTTGCTTAATGCACCATTTTGCAGACAAGGAAACCACACCTGTGAGGGGCAGGAGCTGCCACTGAGTTCTTACCACAAGTCTGGGCAACTGAGACAGGGATCCAGGAATGCCTTTATCTAGACCAGGCATTTCTAAGCTGGGTTGTTTAATAAAATCAACAACTTGAAAAATGCTGGCGCTAGCTCCTGCTGCAGGGGCTGACTTAAGTGCTCTGCAGTAAGGAGGGAGTTCTGAAAGTTCAGGTACATTTAATGCCCTGAGAACCGTTTCCCTACCTCTTTGTGCTGTATCATGTAAGATTCAGAAAGACTTGTGCACCAACCAGCTGCTGG